GTTTTGTGTTTTGATTATTATATGGCGAGGGGATTTTTTTTTGATCCAGTCTATTTGGTGTTCTGTAAGCTTCTTGTACCTTCATAGGTATATCCTTCTTTAGGTTGGGAAAGTTTTCTTCTATAATTTTGCTGAATATATTTTCTGGGCCTTTGAGCTGGAATTCTTCTCCTTCTAAGAACTTCTAATATTCTCAGGTTTGGTCTTTTCATGGTGTCCCAGATTTCCTGAATGTTTTGTGTTAAGATTTGTTGGATTTAGTGTTTTCTTTGACCCCTGAATTTATTTCCTCGATAGAATCTTCAGTGCCTCAGATTCTTTCTTCTATCTCTTGTATTCTGTTGGTTGTACTTTTCTCTGTAGTTCCTGTTTGTTTACCCAGATTTTCCATTTCCAGAGTTCCCTCAGTTTGTGTTTTCTTTATTACCTTTATTTCAGTCTTCAAATCTTGAACTGTTTTCTTCACTTGTTTGATTGCTTTTTCTTGGTTTTCTTGGGTTTCTTTGAGGGATTTATTAATTCCTTCCAGCTTTTTGTTTGTCTTCTCCATTTCTTTAAGGGAGTTTTTCACTTCCTCTTTAAAGGTCTCCATCATTTTCATTAAGTAAGGTTTAAAGTCATTTTCTTCTATATCTTCTGGGTTAGGATGTTCAAGTTTTCCTGTTGTGTGTGCGCAGGATTTTGGTGGTACCATGTTGCTTTTCAGGATGTTGGAGGAGTTCTTGCATTGACGCCTTCCCATCCCTTCCTTCAACTCTTACGTCTCTTATGTCCACCAAGAATTGGTGTCCATGGAGCTCTCAGGGAACGACGCATTGGGGGTGGAGTAGATGGCTGTCTACCAAACCGTCTCCCTGCTAGTGTTAGGAATGCTGAAGGCACCTGAGGATGGGGGCCCCTGGCCTTTCTCCTGCATGGAGGTTTTAGGGAGTAGGGGTCCGGGGTCTCAGGGCCACTGTTGTCTCACTTCCTATGGCCACCAAGTATTGGTCTCCAAGGAGCTCGTAGGGAACGACGCGTTGGGGCAATGGGGGAAATTTTCATGAGGTCTCAACCATAGACAAAGAACTACAGGCAACTAAAGAATGCAAAGAGTGGGAAAAGTAATCTTTCCCAGGGAAGAATCACACACACACACACACACACACACACACACATATACACATACATACATACACACACACATACACACACAAGTAACATATTTGATAAGCAGGTTGTATTTCTATATTTAGAAATATACACACACATACACACATGCACGACAATTAAAGATAAAAGTACATGAATTTGAAAGAGCAAAGGTGGTACATGTGATGGTTTGGAGGGAGGAAAGGGAAGATATAAGTGATGTAGTTATTTTAAATAATCTCAAAAATAAAAACATGAAAAGTAAATCACCATGAAAAATAAAATTTCTTTAAGTCTGCAAAGTACCAACATTCCATAATTGCAAACCAACAAAAACTTTTTCAGCTTTCTTACTATTTCATTTTAATACCAGAGGACCAGGAAATTTAAGGGAGAGAGGCCTCAGGCCTAGGGAGCTTCTGGTGGCCTGAGCTGTGCTCCTTGATTGTGAAGTACAAGAGGTGACTTGAAAAGTAATTTGTAATTTTCTCAAATAAATAATAGAATAACTATTAAAAATATGAAATTCAGTTACATCTCAGCTAATGTGTGATTGCTATACAAAAGTGGCCAGTTTGAAAATAAGAAATGCGAAACTCATTTTTAATAACATTAAATCCTATAATAATGCTGTGGAATAAGTGTGAGAAGCTATGTGTCAAGTCTACTAAGTAAAACTTCAAAATTCTACTAAAAGGATAGAAAAGAAGCCCAAGAAAATGGAAATAGAGAATCCTTTTTTTGGTGTGGAAGATTTAACTCAGAAGATGTCATTTAATGTTAACATAGTCTCAATTTAAAAGGCAATAAAAACTAATTTTAGTATTTGTAGGAAGTGGAATCACGAGTGATGATATTAGGCCCATAAAATACACAAGGTATAAATGATAAAAGCTCTAACAGTTAGGGCAGTTCATTACTAATGTTACTAAGTTAATTTGACAGGTAATGGAATCACAGAGCTCACACATGCAAAAGCACTTCCCCGGTCCACGTGACTGTAGTTTTCTGCCTGGGCTGTTGCTATAGCTGGCTCAGCAGCTGTCCCTCAACTACACTTATCTCTGCATAACCTGACCTCATCAGAGTAGTAAGAATGATTGGGGGCATGAAACAAAGCCAGGTATGGTAGTACAGGTAATTCCAGTGCTCACAGCGATACAGGGAGATGGCAAGTTCCCGCCAGCCTGAGGTATGTAGTAAGGCCGTGCATGTTTCAAAAGGAAAAAATGGGAGGGGGCATTCAAACAAAGGAACACCTCCATCAGAGCTCTGCAGTGGCACCTCTTTTACTCTGCATACTAACCAAGCACCTGCCCTGGCTTCATGGCCCTCCCTAACGTGTCCCTGAGTAATTTTCTTCACGACCCTGTCTTCATCATTGTTTCTCAGCCACCCTGGGCTCTTTGATGCATCTTGAATATACCCATATTCTGCCTTAGAAGATGTTTCCTCTAGAAACCTTGTTTCCTTGATTAGGCTAACTCCCGAACCTCTTTCAAGTTTTGGTTTAAGAGTCACCATGTCAACGAGCTCCTCTACCCTTCCTGGCCTTCTCACTCCGCATGGGGGATCACCCTTACTCCCTACTGCCAGGTGGGCTTGTCTTTTCTCACACATGTGTGGTGGGGTGGTTTTTTCATACAACAGACCATCGGTGAGTTTTATCTACTCACTAATAGATTCTAGGGGTCTACATTATATTCAATCAATTGATAAATTGCACAAATCAGAGAAAAAATTGAGAAAATAAAATGTATACATCTATTGATATCATTGTAAAATAAGTGCCTGTAAATGCATACTTTACTTGTAGAAGAATAGCAAAAGCATTAATGTGGTGGACTTGGTGAGCAAGAGTTTCAAGAGTGAGAAGAATAGCACATTCAGAACCACTAGAGCTTGAAGTTGTCACATTTTATTTAAAAAAAAAATCCAGAATTTCTAATTCTGGAATTAAATATTCCATGAAGTTGAGGCTCAGCTATTGGGAACCTTCAAAAGTGTTTATTTGTTCAGCCAGAAGGTGTCCTGTATCTACCAAAAGTTCTTAAAGAAGCCCTGACAATGTCACAGCTTTCTGCTTCTCTTCATTGTCTGTCGTTGTTCTTGCTAACAGTCGCGAGCTATTTCCGTACAGGTAGTAACAGAGCATCCATTCAGTTTTAGGAGATTTTCTTCACTGCACAGCTTCTCAATGTCCTGATAGCATCAGTGCTGCAGAGATAACTATGATAAAAACTAGCATATATATTCTAGATAAGGTCTGTCCATGTAGCATTGACTGACCTAAAACTCACTATGGAGACCATTCTGACTTTGAACTCACAGAGATCCACCTGCCTCTGCTTCCTGAGTGATGGGGTAAAAGTTGTATGTCAACATGCCCACCCAGATATTAATAGTGTAGAATTTGCAGTGTTAAAGCCAGCAAGATGTGTCAGTGGGTAAAGATGCTTGTGTTCAAGCCTGATGACCTGAGTTTGGTCCTCAGTACTCACATGGTGGGAGGAGAGAACCAGACCCTTTAAGTTGTCTTTCAGCTTCCACACATGTGCTGTGGCTCACACACACAACAATATGCAAATGTAAACAGAAAGAGTACAGTTAACAAATTGAATTGCCTATATTTTCTTTCATCTTTTTAAAACTGAGAACTTAGTAAATGAATGAAATTTACATATTATGTGTATGAAAGTATATTTTATTTGATTATTTTCTTTTACTGCTTGAATTCTGTGGTTGCTCAGAACCACAGTTAAGAAACATTTTTCTGAATGTTCACAGCACTCAGTGAGGTGTCAGAGCAGAGGGACTGTGCAAGTCACAAAAGTCAGTGCACCCTGTCTCCACGGCCTTTGCTTACGGGTGGTGATGGTCATGACACATGCCAGAATGTAACAAATCATTAAATGAGAGCATTGGGCACAGTCGGAGCCGAGAGTTATTAGTTTGGGGACTACAGAAATGATGTGGCTTTGTGCACAGTTTCTTTCTGTAAGTTGAGAAGGGGTGCTGTAGAGGTTGGGAATCCTGTTCAAATACTACACTATCCCTTTTTATCAAAGACAGGCCTAAGACCTTTGTGTATAATATGTATATGTATTGATAGTATAAATATCTATAGTCCCTGTAATGGCATTTTCAAAAAAATTATGTCATGCATTTTTATCAATTGTAGAACTGAAAGACATGAAAACCTTCCTAGTAATTTAAATCTTTGGAAAAATTGCTGTATTAGATGACTAATATTTTTAACTCATTATTTTGTTCGGTTTTTAAGCATCTAGAAAATATGCTGTGCCTTGTTCGAATAGCATACACTGAAGTCTTATTACTCTAGAAAACCATCATCTATTTTCTCAGATGATACTCATGAAAACTCAGGCATTAGCTGCTCATACTCACATATTATACATGGAAAGACTGGGGTGCAGCAAGCTTAAGAAATGTGTGTATGTTTTGAGGTCTGCCACAGTGCCCAAAATGAATGCAAACAGAATTGATGTTTTTATTCTAAAAAGATTGTTTTGTCATTTCTCCCACTCTGGTATCGTTATCTGTCACATAGAGTGAGGTTAGTGTTACTCCAGTAAGCTGTGCTCATGTTGACTGCTTGCTTACCCTGGAAGCATGTGAGATGCATCCTATCATCTTAATGAGATAGTTATTAACTTGCAAGATTCTCTCTCAACACTGATAAGTTTTAAAACAATGAAATAATAGTCAGATACTAACACCTAAGTGATAATGTTATACACTGCTCAAATTAAACTTAGTTCCAGCAATATTTAAAGTATAGATTCTGAAACAAAATTAACATTTAAAATTAAATGTTACTCATTGTCTGCATTTATGCATTTATATAGATGGCAGAATGTACAAATAAAAAGAGGTGGTATAGAAGTGCCCTTGAGGAGGCGTACCAACTCTACAGGTGTTCTCCTGAGCAAAGACTAGACGTGTGCTGCCTGTCCAAACGGGGTATGTACAGATCTTTCTTACTGTCCAGTCAGAGCACCTGGACGTGTGTCTTCTAAAGTATGTATGCACATTTAGAAATCTGTGTCTTTTCTCATATACAAATGTGGTTTCTGTTTATTGTAAAAGAATTTTCAAGTGAATTAATAGCAATATCTTGTCTTCCAAAGTTATTCTCAGTGACTAAACTCTGTTTAAACATGGGCATTGTAATCATTGCTTCCTGGTATTTTATTTTCTCTTGGACTGCATAGACCATTATTTTAAAACATAAAATTCAAAATTTAGGAACCATAGATTTAAATGTATTCCTAATAGAATGATTTTACATGAATGTACTGGGGTTTGTATTTTGTTTTGTTTTTGAGACTACTGTGTTTTCAAAATACTTGATTTTAAAATAAATTCAAATCAGGGGTGAGCTATATACTCACAATTTAAAAATTGTTTTTATTCTTTTTCCATTATCTCTTGTGGACACAGCATGGTGTGCTTGTGGAGGTCAGAGAACAACTTTAGAGGATCAATTAACTCATTCTGTTGGATGGGTCCTAGGAATCAATCCAACTCAGGTCAAAAGACAAGCACCTTTACTGACAGCCTCCTCACAGGCTCATAAACATTTTAAAATCAAAATTATTTTCCCCTCACACAAACTGCATTTTACTTTTATGAAAGTTCCTCCTCACTCATATGATCCAACTTCTCCAGGTCCCTCCTTTCCTTGATACACACACACACACACACACACACACACACACACACACACACACCTATGAGTCAATCAGTATTGCTTCCATACACAGAAATTTAGGGCTGTCCACTGTAGCATTAGCAACCTATGAGGAATTTTGTCCCTGACTGTTGTAAGCACCACGTTTGGATGACATCTGTTGGGATTCACTTTGGATGGAGTTTATGCATTCCAGGGTAGAAGTGTGAGGATTAGAATTACTAAGCAAAAGGAACAGAGACACAAGAGAAATAAAAGACAGAAACACAGAACAACATCAGAAGGGAAATTCAGTGAGTACTGAATTCACCCATGTTTATTCTACATGTTTATATACTGCACTCCAAAAGCGGCGGGGGGGGGGTGGAGGCAACAGACTTCATTAACATGATATAAGGAATAGACCAAGTATTCTGCAGGCAGCCACTCTCTGGAACCTCTTGCCAGTCTCCTTGAAGGAACAGAAATAGACTTGAATTCTCTGGCCTTTGGTCAAAGTAGAGTGGATCCACCTCTACACTCAAAATACTAATTAACAACGCTCTAGGTCAGGATCTCTTGTTCGTAGCCACACCTGTTGTCAACAACTTTGAAAGAGTAAAAATAAGCTCAAACTCTCTGACCTTTAGTCAAGGTGGAACAGGAATCACACCTCTGGGCCCCCACACCTGAAAAAACCTTTTTCTCTCCTGGCATCTGTCAGCTGTAGGGGTGGGGTCTCCTGATCTGCCCAGTTCATGCTAGGTGAGCCTTGTGCAGGCTCATGGCTGTTTAGAGTTTGGGAGTACAGTAACCTGTTGCATCCAGAAGACTCCATTTTGTAGCAGTCCTCTTAAAAGCTTTCTGCCCCCTTGTCCATGATGTTCCCAGAGCCTCGAGGGAGGGACTGTGACATCGAGGTCATATTTAGGGATAAGGAGTCCACAGTACCTACTCTTTGCATCATTTCTGTTCTTTCTGTTAACTTCAGTCTATTACAAAAAGGAACTTCTCTGAAGAGGACTGAGAGCTGGACTAATCTATGTTGTGAGTGTTTAAAAGGCAGTTGGATACTGTATCAGCTTAGCAAGATGACAGTAGCAGATTCTCCCCTAGGATCCATGACCTCTCTGCCTGCAAGTTTTTTTTGGCCAGGTTTACTATACCAGGTGTGAGTTTCTTCCTGTTGAGCAGGCCTTAAATCCAATCAGATAGTTGTTGGTTATTGCCTAAGCCATTCATGTTGTGGTTATACCAATAGGTATAACTTGCCAGGGGAGTTCACAGGCCCACACAGTTGAACCAGACTGTTAGTATCTTTTGTCTCACAGCCTAGCAGCTTACAGCACTATGAAAAACTGTCCCTAAGGAGGGAGGTTTCTACGTTGGTACCAGCTTGATTTCTCTAAGTCCTATGACCACAGCATGTGGTATTTTCTGCCATAGGTTCTTACCATCAACTTCTGATGAGCAGCCAAGTGTGGTGGCAGTAGCCTTCTCAATCTTCTTTAAAAATTATATTACAAGCCATGTAGTGGTGGTACACTCCTTTAATCCCAGCCCTTGGAAGGCAGAGACAGGTGGATCTGTGAGTTCGAGTCCAGCCTGGTCTACAGAGCAAGTTCCAGGACAGACTCTAAAGCTACAAAGAAACCCTGTCTCAAAAAAAAATATTACAAGCATAATTTAATGCTTTCAAGCTTAATCTAGTGTTTTTGTTATACATTATTTTAAATACATCAGGTATTTTCACTAATACATCAGGTCATTTCAGGAAACATGCTTGAATCATAGATGTTTTGATTTATCATGCTTAACTTTTAAAGTCACTCACTTGAATGGCTGGCTCAATTGGCATGACAGACTTAAGATTACTGTTGTTCCTGGAAATAATTATAATAAACTCAAATATATGTGCAGTGATTGCAGTAATTTTATACCCCACACAGCCTTATGTCTAGTACCTTAAGTTTGAAAGCAGGGTCCTTTGTGAAAAGATCTGACCTTCAACTGAGCCCTACAGCAATAGTTAAGAGTTTTTTCTTCATTGAAAAGTTTAATGTATATTCTTGGTAAATTTGTATGGGAAGCTTTTGATTTGAGAAAAACACAAATGGCAAGTAGTGTTGCTCTGGTTGCTCTCGGGCCAGAAGAGACCCTGACCACTACAGACGTGACTCCTTTATATTGAAATGCCATGTGTTAGCAGCACGGGTTCAGCTCTGTCTTGTCACAGTGCAGCTCTATCCATGTGCAGCCAGTTTTATTGTTCAACCACAACAGGCTTTGAAATATTTCATGTAAGTAGTATAGTCACTTAGCTGGAGGGGATTATGTCTTTTCCACTAGCACTGACTTGCTTTCTTGGTGGTATGGACTGTCTTGGTCATCAGTATGCTGGGCAGCTTGTGTCCTGTTCTTTGACATTTCCCCTATCCAGAGAGCCTCAAGAACAATAATTTTCTGGTTGGTTCTGTAGCAAAAGTGCTAAAAGTCTTTTGACTAAAAGTCTCATGACGTTTATATGTAGAATTTGATGTAATTCAGCCTTTTTGACTGAGAGCCATGACTTTTGAGAGCCATGACCTCAGGACTTCATTTTTGTCCTTGAAGTAGATAGTGCAGGAGGTAGAGACAGGTATCTATGGGTTATGTCCTCACCAACACAGGATTGCTTTTCTAAACCTGCAGTTTCAGCTTGGAAAAGATTTATTTAACCTCTGAGTATGCTTAGCATCCAGCATGGAGTTGTGTATAGTATTTAGCTTCTTATTGTATCCGAAAATAGCTTTCAGAGGTTAGCCAACATTTAGATATTTCACTATAGGTAAGCAGCTTAGAGGCAGCTTGGAGGCTTTTTTTCTGATAGTTTCATACTCCAGCCTAGAACTAATTACTTTAAATACATAGTCTGTGTTCTTTTAACCTGCAGCAATTGTTTTGATGTGGCTTTTTTATTAAAATGGGCATGGCTATTAGATGATGTGTATGTAGGACTCAGATTAAAGTTCTGCCTTAGTTGCCGCTTTTGTTGTTTGTTTTATTTGACTAATACTCCAGTTTAGTAATTCTTTTAATGAGCTTGAAAACTTGATTATTCTGTGTGTGTGTGTGTGTGTGTGTGTGTGCACACGCGCATGCGCGCGTGTGTGTGGCAGGATATCAAATACAAAAGTCTCACCCTTGCTAGGTGCTCACCACTAACTATCTGCTCAACCCTGTGTTCTACATTTAGAGTGGATTTGCCTATCTCTACTTTCCCCCATAATTACTCATGTTTTTACAGAATAGACTTCCATGTTTAGAGCAGCCTTAGTTTAGTGCAGTTTTCATATGCCTCTATCCACTCAGAACTCACGTCTCCCTGTTGGACCTCACACTGTGGGGTTTGTTGTAGCTAGTAAACGCACATGCACTCCTCCTAGTTACCTCCAGAGTTCACAGTGCATATGAGGGTCCACTCTAGGTTTACACTCTGGGTTTGACAGGAATAATCTCATGTGTCTGGAGTGATATTTTACTTATGTTCAATAAATAAAGCTTGCCTGAAGGCCAGAAGGTAAAACTAAGCCACTAGAGGCCAGAGAGTTGTGGCACACTCCTTTAATCCTAGGATTTGGGAGACAGAGGCAGATGGATCTCTGTGAGTTCAAGACCACCCTGGGCTACACAAGATCAATGAAAAAACAGATCCAGGTGGCCATGGCTCACACCTTAGTCCCAGTCCTAGGGAGTCACATGCCTTTAATGCCAGCACTACAGTGGAATATAAGGCAGGGTGAAACTGGATCTTGTACTCTTTCAGTCTTAGATGTAAGAGCTCTCTAGTGGCTTGGCTGCTTTGCTTTTCTGATCTTTGGGTTGAACCCCAATATCTGATCTGAGTTTTTATTATTCATGCTACACACACCCATTGTCGTCCTATTGCGGACAGTATTTCATGGCCTTAAAAATCCTGGTGTCCCAGCTGTTCATCTCTTCTCCCTGCCAACACTCAGCAACTTTTCCTACCACTGTCTTCATAGCTTTGCCTTTTCCTGAATGTCTCATGATTGGAATCATAAATAAACCTTCCTTCTGCATCGACTTCTTTCCTATAGTAATATACACTTGTTTCATCTTTGCATGAGTCTATATTCTTTTCCTTTTTAGTGCAGAGTAATGTTCTACTCCTATTCATACCACAGTTTCCACCATTCATCTACCTAGGAACCTCTGGATTGCTTCAAGTCTAAGTAATTACTGATTAATGTCATTTTTGCGTGGCCATGAAGTTTCAGCTCCTTCTAGTAAACACTTAGAAGTGTGGTTGCAATACTGTGTTGGATATGTGCTGATTTCCAACATTGTGTTAGCAGTGACTGAGGATCCCTGTTGTTCTGCATTCTCTCAGCATTGTGTTACATTGACATTCTCCAAGGGGCTGCCACCCCATGTGTGGGTCCTGGTTATCACTGGTGCTCAGTACTGTCACATGCATATTTGCTCTTTGGTTTTCTTTGCTGGTGTCTTTTCAGGTCTTTTGGCCTTTGGTTATTTATTTACATGCCAATCTTCCAGCCTTAGCCTCCAAATGTGGGAGTTTAGGAGTGCAGCACCATGCCCAGCACCTCACCTTTCTTACTTCTCTCTCCTCACCATCTCTTCTTTCCTCCCTTCCCTTCCTTTTTTATTTCTTGTCTGTCTTCATTTTGATCAGTTTCCCTTAATATAGTCTCAAGCCTAGAGCTTCATCTCCCAGGCTGCATCCTTTTACTGATGAGGCAACAAAGACATTCTTCATCCTGTTGCCCTGTCTTCCACCCTTTAGCATTTTTTTTAACTCTCAGAAGTTTCCTGTTTCTTTGCATATCCTGTCTGTTTTGCTGTTATTTGGCTCTTAACATTAGGTTTCTTAGCATGATAATCATAATTAATTCACATTAACCATCGGATAGGTCTACCACACCTGCCATACAGGTTCTATCTGCCTGCCTGTCTACACATCCATTTCTTGCTCTCTTTAAAGTTGTTAGTTGTTTTACTTTTAGCATGACCTATGAATTTTTATTGAAAGGTGGCGTGGTGTACTGGATAACGGACTGTAGGTTCAGCTTTTAGTCAGCTGGACAGTGCTAAGATGCAGGGTTGAGGAGCATCCTCTAGTCTTAGTATTAGGTCTTGATTTTAGGCTGGGAACTTGACAAGACCCCTCCCCATGCTTTTCTTTGTCATGCACTGAAGTGCTAAAGGACAGCTGCTGGGGCTACAGTTGTGTAGTTACTTCCCCCAAATGAATGAGGCTTGGAAAAAATTCCAGTTCATTGGACAGTAGCAAATTAGATGCTTTTGTGGGCAGATCTCAGTAAGAATATCTGCCAGATGTCTGGGTGAGTTTTCTCCAGCATCCCCATGAGAACTTGGGGGCTCTCTAGGAGGAAGAACTCACAGAAGCCTTCCAGATCTCCTACCCTGCCCATGATGGATTTTGTTTCACAGGTTTGTCCACATTTAATCTCCAGGGGTGTGCCAATTAAGGTTCAGATTTTTCTTACCCCTAGACTGTTGTCATGTAACATACGGGTCAAATGTTTCTGCTCAGGTAAATCATAATTCTCTACATTGATCTGTTTCCTCAGATTGGGGAGCAGAAATGTGCCCCAAGAACCACTCTTCTTTGATGAATCTAATTATGGATTTTCAGTTTAGCTCTGAACTTGAGATGTGGTGGTAACTTTTAAATTCCTTGCGTACATGACCAGAAACTGGCCTGTCTTTTGTCTTTGGAAGAAGGTACCTTTAGCTGCCACATTTAAAGAAGCTCAGAGTCACAGTTTACTGAGGTCATGGATGATATTAAACAACCACTGCATATGAATCTTTATTATTAACTTTGACAGCTATTGCAGCCTTACATAGTGTTTAGATATATGCAGAATATCAGAAAAGAAGTGGTGATTTCTCTGAGTTGGAGGAATCACTGGCAATGTTGAATAGTCTGTGTGGACCTGAATGAAGAAAAATGATTTTTTTTGAAGGAGGGTTATCTTAAGTGTTAGGGAGATACAGGAAAGAAAGAGGACGCTACACATGTGGAAGCCAGTGGTAAGTATGAATACAATAACACACTTCCCTGGGCATTTGTTTTCTGTCCGTTCTTACTACTCTTTGGTAACTTCATACATGTGTACAATGATATATGACACATACCTTCCCTGTTTCCCCTTCCACTACCCCAGTATGTCCCAACATCTCCCTCTTTAACAAGTTTTCTTCCAACAATCACTGTGTCCAATTAGTGCTGCCCATAAATGCATGTGGACCATCCACTGGGTGCAGGTAACCTACCAGTGGCCACATAGTCAGGTTTTATCAACATATGCACATGCATATATTGTAGTACCAAAATAATACCCTGGAATATTTTCCATGAACTAGGTGGTTACTAAAGATTCAGTCTGAGAAATGGTACCAATGTCCACACTCTTGTGGAATCTTATCTGAGGCAGTGTTGGTACCTCAGTGGTCTCAAATGGAGGCAGCAGACACCTTGGACAGACAAGGGACTTGCAATCAAAGGGGCATGCTCTATCAGTACAACCACAGGCAGTGTGCTGGAGTGTCAGTTTCCTTATTTGTACAAGGAAGATGGACCACATGCTCTACCATGTTATATAGATTCAACGAAGCAGTACAGTTTATGTGATGTTCTTATCCAGTGTCCAGCAAATGACAGGTGTGCAAGTAGAGATACCATAGTCTTAACTCTAGAGTCTATGTACTCCAGAATACATAGACTAACCAGGAGCCAGAAATTAGGCAGACTTGATGCTAACTACTAAAATAAGATAAGAGTTTCTTCTTGACCTTATGGCTTTTGGATGACTGAGGAGGTGAATTTATTAGTATTTACTTAAGAGGGCCACTGAAAACAGTCTTCTTACTAATGTGTGAAAAAGTAGAAAATTGTAGTTTCATTTTCACACATCTATTTGAACAGGAGGAAGTTGAGTTCTTTGTTAAAGTAGACATGTTATATTATTTTGCAGATAGAACCAAAGCAGGTGCCAAAGCTGCTGTGGTGGCCAGGAAAAGGGTAAGACTGTGTTTCGAAGTTAACTTCAAATTCTGTTTTTTAAAGAAAAGCAAATTGCATTATATGTAATCTGATTTTTATTCTGAAGTTTGGTTGAATATGTATTTGCTTTCTTAGGCTGACCATAAACAATATTTGTGATGATTTCCATTGATTTTAGAATTAGGGCAATAAAAATACAGATGGACAAGGAAGCAAGTACTTTTATTTAAGTCATATTTCACATAAACTTATAGCAGTGTTTATATGTATTGTGTTACTGTATCATATGAGAAAATTAATTTCTCCTAGAAAGTTTAAGCAATTCAAGTTTATAGTTTAATATGCTGATTAAACTTTAGAGAACAACATTGAGTAACTAAAGTTCTGGATAGAGTATTTTAATGGAAGCTTTAAAGCCAAGTACATTTAAAAATATATTTTAAAACATTAACACATTATTTTGAATATTATATGTGGAATAATATCAAACTCTATTTACTGTGCAAAATATAATTAAGATAGTGACATTCTTGTGAGAGTGTCCCATTATAGGAAATCACTGACGTGGAAAGAGAGTACTTATCGCATACACTTGGTCATGTAGTGCATTGGTTTTCTCTCAGAGTCCAGGACAGACCCTGTGTGTACCGTGGGGCTCTGCAGAACTGTGCAAGGCAGTGCAGCCTTGCCACTGCATAGTGTGGACAGAATTAGTTATTTCAGTATCTTCTAATTCACATATAGAATAAAAAGTTATAAAGACATTAACTATTCCTATGTATCATTTCCACTTACCATTGTCCCCCAGAAGGACAGCATTAGAGTCAGAAAAATGCTACTCATTATAAATACGAGTGTAAATGTCATAATGAAACACATTATTTCATCCAACTAACTAGTAAAATGTCTTGAGAACATGGATAAGTATATAAAACATAATTGTTACTGAAAATATAAAATTTAATGTGAGGCTCTACAGCTTCTGTTCAGAATGCCTATTCTAACTGTCTAGAAGATCATTCAGTTGTATAGACTTTGGGTCTCATTAATTTTAGTGTGTGATGATTTTACCTGTTTGTAAGTTTAAAATATTAAATTTTATAAAAGTAAAAATTATTAATAAAAATGGCAAAAGCAAACCAAGAGAAAAATGTAATGTGTGTCTTGAAAGTCCAAACATGAGTCAGTTCCTGCTTTATTCACTGCTCTGACTCCTCCGTACACTTTTCATGATGAGGATTGCAAGCTGGGCTCTGGCTAGGCCTCTGGCTAGTTTCATGCTGGAGACTCCCCTGTACAGGACTGACCAGGGGTATTTCCAATGATACCAGGTAAAAACTTCCTCTGCTCAGTCATCTGCTACTGCATGGTCACGATGCAGTGTGCTCGCCCAGTACTTAGGATGAGTGTATAATGTGCCTACTTCTTTTGCTTCTCAAGCCTTTTGAAATAGGTAGGCATGGGCTCCTTCTCAGGCCCATTCAGATGGAGAAATCTTATGATGATGAGGCTGAGGCGCACAGGTGTCTGAGACAGCTCCCAGGTCTCACTGGGTCCCATCCCCACGACTCCAGAGGCTCAGCCCAGGCCTTTTCCATTCATCTGCTTTTTACAAGTTAGACCCAGAAAAAAATGCCATTTTTGTCTGTTGACAGCTTTTCAAATTTTTATTTTTCTTAGAAACTCACCTTTATAAAGGCATAAATCACAGGCAAGCAAAGAAGAAATACTAGTTCAAGCAAAATGGGAGATAGTAGGAATTTTTTCAGGTACTTTAGGTTATATTAGTTTTAAAAAACACAAGTAAGTTTGTTGAGGAAAACCTGGAGCATTAGATACACTGAAGTGCCCGGAACAGACTGTGCATGACGTGCCTAACGTTTGGACTGACTTGTGGATGGGCAAACTTCAAAATGTAGTTACTTAGTATACTCATAAAATAGTACTGAAGCTTCTTATAATACATCAACAAAGTATTTACAAGTGTTATTATGGAAAGATAAACTAATACGGACTAGACATATTATTCTTGAAATTACTGAAAGATTTGCTTTACTCAACATACTATAACATTTTTAACCACACAGTCAAATGGATCCAACTCAAGTCCTCAGTCAGGCTTGGCAGTGAGCTTCTTTACACACTGGCCCATCTCTCTGGTGGCAGTGAGCAGCCTTACACACTGACCCATCTCACTGGTCCTGAGTACTTCTTTCTCAAACTCTGGCTGACTTTATATATTTCAAATATCATCTCTGTCACTGTCATTTCCATTTTAATTATCATTACTTATTTTTCATATATTTATTAGACAATATATTCCTTCAGAAGACTTTGTCCATATCTTTACTCACTTCCCCTCCTCATCATTTGTTATTCCTAATTGATTTGTAAACATGGACTCACTCACTAGTTATCAGTAGTTTATCAGTGTGTTACAAGGTTTTCAGTTGTTCACCAAAGTGTTTCCGGTATTTTTTTTGTCTTGGAGTCTTCAGGTTTTGTGACCTCTTGTAAAATATTGCCCCTTCACTTACACACGCAAAAGTTTGTGCTTAACTTCGCGGTTCCTCTGTTGCTCTAGCCACAGCGAAGAGGCACTTCAGTACAGCTTCCTCTCATGCCCCATGTCGGACAGTTAGAGAGACTCCTGGAGACATGGCATGTTCTTCTTTCTCACCAGCAAATGCCACAGCAGAACAAAGATGGTTTTGCCAGTTTAGTCATATTTTGTTGTTCTAACTTGTATTTCTCCAAAGTTAGTTGCTTTTGACTTCTTAGTATTATTTTTACAAATTTACATGAACTGTCTAGATATTAGTAATAAAGCTATTCACTTTTCCTCAAATTTTGCTCTGTTATACCACATGCTTTTCCTTTATCCCTAGAAGTGTAGATAGTAAACATTTGTATGTGGACATGTGTGCTTTCTATTTTGATTATTATACTATTAAAAATGTATTGGGGATAATATAGTGGGAAGGTTGAGAGTGGCATCTAGAGTTAGACTGTGAGTTACAAATTCCAAGGCTTATCACTTTCTAACAGTGTGAGCCAATATTTGCTGCTTAATTCTCTGACCTCCCAGTTTCTTTTTACGTGAGAATAAAAGTATTGCAGAACAGTTTCTCTGACTGTGTTGCTCCACTGTATAGTGCTTTGAATGAGGGTAAGGCTTTATAGATACGAGCTGCTGAGGGAAAGTGAGTTTGTGTTCACATGCTATGGGAGCACAGGGTACAAAATGCTCCCTGCAGCTTCCTAATCAGCTCTCCCAGTGCTGTCACTGGATTGTAAGCAGTCTGTCCATTCCCCACACCCTATGACTGGCGCACGTCTTCCTTTAAGACAAGGCATTTGATGTGTTAAAATATCTACTTCCATATCTACTCTTTATATTCATTAAGAAAGTTCCAAACTGCTTTATTCTCTGTCTTTTCTTTGATATGCGAACTAGTGACCCTTTATTACATCGGTCTTTCAAAAACTTTTATTATTCTTGCCTGTTGACTTTTCAGATGAACCTTAAAATTATTTTGCCAAGAATTATTTGGTCAGAGGAATACTATTGAGATGTTGATTGGTGTTGTAGAAAAACCTTATGTGTTAATTATGAAGACTGTATTTATTGTTCAAGACCCACTCATGTAGAAACTAGCTTGTCTCATTCAGCCTTCTCTAGTTTCCAGCGAACAGTCTTCCATCCCTAATTAGCTTGATGCCAGCTAAGTTTCACTGGTTGGAAAGGATTTCCTTTTCACTTTATCCCCCAATCCATGTAGTGCAATTCTAATTAGTCCAGATACCAGGGGGTGAAAACTGAGAGATCAGAGAGACAGAGCAGCCAGTCACTAGAGTTCTTACCTCTCCAAATGCTCAGGCTGAATAGGCAAGATCCTGCCTCTTTGAATCCTCAGATTGAATGCCTTGAGCTCCTGTCTCCTCCCGCCTTATAATTCTCCCTCTGCCCAACCATATCACTCCTGTCTCCACCGCCCTAGCACTGGGATTAAAGGCATATGGCTAGCTCTGCACTCTGATCCTCAGGCAAGCTTTACTTGTTAGATCACAAATAATATATTCCTACAAACCCTTATCTTTTCTTTCCTTTTTGTTTATACACAGACATCTTGTATGTGGGCCTTTTTCTCCTAATTCTTATTAATGTCAAGAATTTAACTTGCATCATTTGAAAAATAAAAGCTAATGACCATTCTCTTGTGATACGTGTATAATGGAATAATTTAGGACATGCATTTCCTGATGAAGAGAATTTCCCAAACCTATTACAGAAGTTCTTTCTGACAATCAGACACTCGGTTAGTTTCAGTCTGGTTAGTAGGACAGACTGGAACACTGGATGACTAGATGCCTAGTCCTGCATGGGACTGCTAAGTTCATGGTTGTTAATGTGGAATCTGTGCACTACAACCCACTACATTTACTTAGCTTTCTGTGCAGTTCCTCCCAGAGACAAGATTCAAGACTAGTCCCCACTGCTGACATCCAGTCCCAGCCAGAGGGTGGTCTCCAGAAGAGCAGCAAGCTCAGTCAGTGAGCCTGTGCACACAGTCAGCTTTTACACCTCAGTCACTTCCTTCTTGTTTTCCTTGGTACACTTTCCCAGGGATCATTGTTTCCTCAGCGTGGCTAATTGATGTGTCCTGTCACCATATTAGTCTGGATTATTGCTTACTTTAGTTTTCTCTTAGTTGTTCAAGAACAAATTTTTATCAAATTGAGTTTGAAGATCTAATTGTCTTTCATTAGTGATCCCTGAGCCAGCCAGCATGTCATCTTTGTGTGACAGAATGATCCCATTAGTCTGGGCTGCCCCAGACTCCCCAGTTTCCTTCTTTGTGTGGTTAGGCAAAGCAGGTTTCTTCAGTGTGCTGTATGACTGCTCTCACAGTGATGCTACAGCTGCTGGTTTGCTCTGTTCTTTAGGGCTGGTGCAGGAACTCAGAATACAAAAATGGTCACTCAGAAATTTTTCCTAACCTTTGATTAATTTTAAA